TTTTTTTTTTTTTTTTGCAACTGTAGAGAATAATTTGATTAAAGCAGCTGAGAAAGAAAGTACTCAAATGTCATTCTTTTGTTACTTCAGGCCAACGTGTGCTCTGAGGAGGTGATGAAGGCACTAAGACAAGAGGCTGATGTAGGCAGGTAAAGTGATTTAAAAGCAGAAACTGAAAGCAGAGTCAGAAGCTCAAAGAAAGGAGGCTGCACACTATGGCCCATTCTTTTAATTACTGCCTGAATGCCTTAACAATACAAATGGACAATGGTGTTTCATGCCCTTGTGTGATAGCTCTTTGACTGAACATGTAAAACTGAGTGTGAAGAATAAATCCTGTCTGTCAGATAGAAAATGAATTACTATTGTGGCAGTAAAAAGTAAGTACATTCTTTTTCAGCTGTATCAGAATAAAATGTTAAACTAATAACATAGCATTCCATAAAGGAATGCAAATACCCACTGCCTTTCCTATCGTGTTTTTGACAATCATCCCATCTTGAAAAGAGAAAGAGCTGCAGCAATTTTGGTTAAATTTGAATTACAACATTTTGTGCCAATTTCATGCAGTATTGTAATATCTTGTTTGATATTGCATGATCTATTAGTGCTCAGAGTCTGTGTTTTGAATGACTGTCAGCTACTACCACACCAAATTCCAGCTCATTGTCTGCAAAATAAACTGTTCATAACCATTTTTATGTTCTATAAAGTCACTTGGCTGTGACAGCAGTTTTGAATTGGTCGTACAGTACAATACAATTTGCCATGTCTTGTTTGTTGTTACCCGTCACCACCAAATTATAAATGCATTTAATGCTTTTTAATGTGTCTGTTTGTGTTTGTGGGTCTGTAATTTGTCAAAATGTATCATAAACTTGTGGCCACCCAAAGCTAGGCCAAGGTTATAAGGAGCTTTAAGCAGACGTTCACTGGGAGCCTACAAACTGATTCAAGATGGCTGCCACAGCTAATGGAACTTCACAAAAATGAAAATATATTTAACTCTGTCAGTTTTGCAAATTCATTCATTCAAGTTTATTTGAACAAGGACAGCACAATAAACAATGTTACATGATAAAAACGAAGCAACCGTTGTTTTGTACGAAGGTTTTCTAGCCACAGGCTAATTTGTAAACTCAGTCCTTGGTTGGACTTTTATATGAAAACAGCTAAAATTAAATTAAAATGTAATTAAAGTTAAACAGTTCCCTCACACACATGCCTGCTCCTCCATCCCCATGGGGCTCAGTGTTCACAGATTTGGTTTTGTTTCAACCATTTTTTTCACCTGGGAATTATAAAAACTCTAAGATCTGTTAATGTTTTTTTTTATTGCTGGTGATAAACTGTTCCAGATATGAGGCCTTTGAATGAGAAAGAACATTTTTGACCAAATGATGTTTTGTATTTTGCTGGTTTGCAGTCTCCATCAACTGCATCTCTTGTTGCAACTCCTGAGCTGCTGACTTTTAAAATCAATCTGCTCACCAGCTCTGGGACAAGACCATTAATGCATTTAAAAGTCAATTTTAAACAAGAAAAAAAAAAAAAAGGCAAACTTAAAAAATTATATTTCTCCAGTATTTTACAGTTGTGCCACTTCAATGGGTTTTGGTCTAAAACTTTCAGTGCTTGTGAATACAGCATCCTCATAGGTTTTAAAGCAGATTGAGTTGCTTGGCTCCAGACAGTGACGCAGTCTGAGAAATGAGACAGAATCAAGGCATCTAGGTACAACTGAGCAGATTTCCCACATAAACATGATCTTATAAGATGAAAACAATTTAGGTTTGTCTTAATGGTTTTAAACACTTTCCTAATGTGAGCCTCAAAGTTAAGATGGGAATCTAGAATGACACCCAGATATTTAAACTCATCCACTTTTTGGATTTCCTTTTGATCAATCACATTTGAAAAGTTACAGACTTTACGCTGGATAGTGAAACACATCGAGACTGTTGATTTGCAGTTCAGAGTCAAACAGTGATTCTTAAACCACTGAGACACTCTGTCCAACTCCCTGTTCAGTAACTCTGCTGCCTGTTGTGGAGTCTTTGCAGATACATATATGATGGTGTCATCTGCATACATCTGACATTTGGCGTATTTGCAACTGTCCTGTAAGTCGTTGATGTAGAAACAGAAAAGCAACTGACCTAAGATGGAACCCTGTGGAACTCCCATTGTACATTTTTGGGGGCTAGATTTCATTCCATTAACTTTGACGCACTGTTCTCTATTTTTTTAGATGTGAGCTAAACCAACTGATAGCTAACTAAATATTGAGCTAAAATGTGATGTTTTACTAGCTGAGAGTCATCTCCAGCAGCACATATTCACATATTCAGAGCATTTCAAACTGTGCAAGACCTTTGCCTAAAACTTTGCTAACGGTTCTTAGTCAACCCTGTCAGTCAGCAAAATATCTACAGGGTGCATGAAATGTGATCCAGCTCAGACACAAGAAGTAAACAATAATAAATGAGCACTCCTTGAATACTTTATCATTCTGATTATTCCTAATGCTGATTAAACAATCAGTCAGTTTTATGTGAATATTCAAACACAGGAAGCCTCCTGCTGACCCAGGGACACTAAACTGATGCTTGGCCACGGGCCAGCTATGTGACCAACACAGCTAACCGTAATTAGCCAGCACAAAAATTACCCTTTTTTTTTTTTACCAACAATGAGCTGAAACTTGATGTG